TTTGTTTTAGTCACTTAAGAATGATCATAAACAGTTAAAGTTCCTAGCTTCATTAATCGAATGATTCTTCTTTTTATCCTTTGATTTGATGACAAATTTATACTCCTTTCAGAACAACTGCATGCATTATTTAATAAAGAAGATAATTAATAGACATTATATATTATGCAATGCATAATAATTATGTAACATAGTTAGAAGGATGAGAAAAAATAATTAGAGTGGTGAGTGCACATGCCCACAGCAAAAAACAAAATTCTGAAAAAAAAAAGATATGACTTTGAGGTAGTTCTTACTTCTCTAAAATACAGTTGCTAACCTTTCCTATCTACCTTTACAGCAGCTTTGTCATCACATTCTTTAAACATCCATTGATTTCTTAGTTATAGAACATATTTATCTCTTTCCTTGGCATAACTGATTAACTCTGAAAAAGAAAATATTTTTTATAGATTCAAATATTTTCCATCTTTTTTTTTTTCTTTTTGCTTATTACTTTCTGTGGAGGAGAGGTTATTTTATATTTTTTGTAGGAGTGTTATTTATATGAGTTAAGTGTAGGTGAAGAATATTATAATTGAATTTTTATGTCTATGTATTATTATTTTATTTTTGGAGGGGTGAAGTTTTTTTGCTATAGGGCATGTGCGCTCACCAGAAAGACAAGAGACAGAGAGACAGAAAGCAAGAAATCACCCCCCGGGGGGATGGCCATGCTTCAGTTTGTTCTCCTCCATTCTCCTCTCGGGATCTTTGGGCATGCACGCTCATGAGCCTGGAATGAGTTCAAATCACTGGGTCCAGAATTTGAACCTTGGTTTGACTACCTGGGAGTCCAGCAGCATAGCCATTATGCTATCCGCTAGTCCTGATATATATGTACTTTAATAAAAAATGATCTTTTATTAGATATTGGACCTTGAAAGTATTAAATATACTCTTTGAGGCTGAGCTTTTTAAACAAATAAATAAAAAAAGTTGTCACTGTACTGGGTTATTGTTAGAATTACGAATGATGCCTAGCTCAGATCATCTTACTTCCTTAAGCCCCTTCTCCTCAGATTTCCTATTATCTTAATTTTTCTCATACTTTACAATGGGGATCATGAAGAGCAATGATTATTGAAATATGGATACAGAGATAAGATAAACCAGTGGTGGGGTCTGGACAACAGAGGCAGCTTGGGGATTTGGTCCAAAGTAGAGTGTTCTTGCTAAAGTAGGCACCTATTTCACTGTTGTACTGTGACTGTTATTTGGCTTGGATAGGATATAAATTTTCTTCTTTTTTTCTCCTTCCTTCCTTCCTTCCTTCCTTCCTTCCTTCCTTCCTTCCTTCCTTCCTTCCTTCCTTCCTTCTTTCTTCCTTCCTTCCTTCCTTCCTTCCTTCTTCCCCTCCCTCCTTCTTTCTTTTCTTCCCTTCAATTGCCGAAACACATGTATGCTTGCTGAAGAGAGTCAAAGAATGGGAGAGGGAGAAACACCCTCTCCAATGGGGCATGCCATTTATTCATCCTGTCAGGATTTAAGGTTATGCACACACACACTGTCTTTTCAGGCAGCCAGGATTGGGACTCAAACCGTGGTTGGCCATGAGAGATCCAGCACCTTTAACCATTAGGTAATAGATCTTGAATATAATTTTTCAAGAGAAGATAGTAACCTGGATACTTGTGTGTGAAACAGATCAATTTCTAAATTTCTAAATTTTGGCAACCAATTAAATTACTTTTTTTTTGTAGAGGTATTTTGCTATAGGGCATGTGCGCTTGCCAGAAAGACAGAGAGAGACAGAGAGACAGAAAGCGAGAAATCACCCCCCAGGAGGGATGCCACACCGCAGTCCCTTCTCCATTCTCTCGGAATCTTGGGCATGCACGCATATGCGCCTGGCATGAGTTTAAGCCACCGGGTCTGGGACTCGAACCGCAGTCGACTACATGGGAGTTCAGTGACATAGCCATTACTCTAACTGCTGGTCCACCAATTAAATTACTTTAGAAACAGTCTAAAAACTGCGGGCTGGCAGGTGGCTTAGTGGTTAATGATGCTGAATTCTCACATGGTTGACTACAGTTCAAGTCTCAGTCCCGGCAGCTTGCTTTCTCAGTTTCTCTCTTCTCTCTCTCTCTGTATTTCTCTGGTCAAATTAAATAATATTAGTAATAATAATAAAATAAAGATAACTAAAAATAATTCTTAAAAAAAAACCAGTCCAAAACTTAATGTAATATGTCTGTAAACTGTCACGAACCATTACTTTACCATCTAGGCTCTTTGCTCGAAGACATTGCAAAGAGAAATTTGAAAGGTATTTTTTCCTAATATTCCCAGAGAAATGATTGTTTTAGTTTACTTTTTCGGGACTGTCATGTTTATCACTTATTTAGCGCCCTTTATTATTCATTATGAAGTGGTTCCATTTTCATTGAATTAAGAATGCCTTATGGGGTCAGCAGAAGGTGTAGCAATTACATCGCTGGACTCCTAAAAGGCTGACCACAGTTAGAATCCCTGACCCAGTGACTTGAAAATCATGCTGGGTCCATGTGCGTGTGTGCCCAAGATCCTGGAAGGAGAATGGAGAAGAAGGGATTACGGCGTGGTCATCATCCTTAGCAGGGGGAATTTCTCACTTTCCTTCTCATGGTCTCTCTCTAGTAAGTGCAGGCACCCAAAGGCAAAAATCTCTCAAAAGAATAAAAAGAAAAAAGCCTTACGAAGCATTGCTACAGAATCTTGCTGCGTTCTTTAACCTGAGGTCTCAGAAATGAGTGAGGACAGAGTGACATATTCAGAGCTAAAATTCCTCCATTCAAAGACACAGAAGAAAGACAAAAAACGTCCAGCTCCAAAAAGGAAAGGTATAGTGTTCTGTGTTTATTTCCTGAAAATGCGATGTCAAGTAAAAAAAAAAAAAAATCAAAGTAATTATGTTCAAATATATTTGACATTGCATGTCTGATTCTTTATATATTGAAAGGTATCTTTATGCATAATATTCAGTAAAATTTGTAAACTGGGTAATAATGACTTTAATCTTAAACTTCAGAATAAAAATTCATTTTGCTCTAATTGCAAAGGCTTTGCCACATTCATTGTATGCTTTGTCTTTTGATTCGTGTAGCATTTCCATGGCACAGTGTTGCAGTAATCCTGGGAATAATATGCTCTTTTCTCCTGATGGCAATCGCAGTCTTAGGATATATGTGTGAGTATCAGATGTACATATTTCTTATGAGAACAACAGACCAAGTTGAAATTGAGGTCCTGTAAGTGCTAAACCTCTGCCCTGACTTTGTAAAGCTCTTTGGACAGATCAGCAACCATGATGGTGTTGAGGATGATGACTATTATTTTGCTACCATTTAGTTTTTATGAAATTATATATAATTGTAATTATACAAAAAATTTGCTAAGTTCCATCTGTATGTATGTTATAACTTATTTTATGTAAAATTTGGTTTGCCTATGACCAGTAGATGGGGGAAATGTGTACATGATGACTACATTCATTACCTTACTACAGTCCTGTGCTGTTTGAATCACAAAAGAGAATAAATCTGATTTCTTCCTTTGGAATAAAATGTTATCTACCAGTTGGAATGTATTTCATGTCAGTTTTTAAAGAACTATACCTTATACTTGCTTTCAGTATCTTTTTCTTGATTTTTTTTTTTAGAGAGACTTTTGCTATAGGGCATGTGTGCTTGCCAGAGAGACAAAGAGAGACAGAGAAACCAAAAGCAAGAAATCAGACTAAATGATGGCCCACTACAACCCCTTCTCCATTATCTTCCTGGAGGTTTGGGCATGCATGCACATGTGCCCAGTGTCCTTTTCAGGCTGCCAGGTCTGGGACTTAGACTGTGTTTGGCCCTGTGGGAGTCCAGTGTCTTAAACACCACACCCCTTTTAGCTAGTCCCAGAAAATCATTCTTTATATTAAGGCTAAGCAAAAATTTTGTCATTTGTTGAGATTATGTAGATCCACATGATCTCTCATACATTAAAGGATGTAATTTAATGATAATATTAAAAAATATAAAGGTACAACCACTTTGGAAAACAGGTTGGTATCATGGTATAACTTTTCTAGAACTGAACATGACAATCTTCAGGAAATATCCAGGAGAAATACTTGGAAGAGTACAAGAATCCACTTCTACAGGAAAGTTCATAGCTCAAAGCTACCAAAATTACCATGAATGGGAGAATAAATACAGTTTTTGTGATGTATTCACAACACAGAAATTTGCAGCTGGTTAAAAAAATGAACTGCAGTCCTGTGAAACAATGTGAATGAATTCTATGTATGATAATATGAAGTGGAAAAGATTGCTAACATTTTCTGTATACCCTACACATTAGATCAAACATTACAAATTAAAAATAATGTCAAAGAGTAAAGATGCTATAAATTGATATAGAAAAAGAATTAGAATATATATTTACACACACACACATATATATAATACTTATTATAGAATTTAGTTTGATAATAACCTTTCTGGGAGATGTAGGCAGATAGAATATGGCAAAATATACGAATAGATAAATGTCATGGTTAAGACCCTGGTATAGTTCTGGGTAACAACAAATGAACAGCTAAATAAATAAATGAAAGTTCTTGGAACAATATTGAGAGTGTTTTATTATTGAAGGATTGAGAATAATCTTGTTCTGGGGACCAAAGTTCTAAGTGTTAAAAAGAGACAACTCCATTATAAAGAATAGGAAAAACAAATGATAGAAATTTGGGGGGAAGGGGTGACTTCCATATGCAGAGATTAATATATAGAATAGAAGAGAAACATTAGGGGGAAAATGCTGAGGACACTGGAGAGAAGTGAAACAGGTGGAGGTCATGATTACTCAGGATTCAGCAGGGAAGAAACCCACACTCAGGATGGGAGTTTTGAAGTTGTTTAGTGGAAAATAAAATTATTTTCTGAGACAGATGGATAACTTTGTGTTTGTAGGGTGAAGGTGAGGGGATTATGGCTGATGTACACTACTTCTATGTGAAGTCGCAGGTAAAGCCAGCTCGTGAGATGCAGAATCAAAGAGGTGCAGTAGATAATTTAGGTAGAGAGACTTTTGCTATAGGGCATGTGTGCTTGCCAGAGAGACAAAGAGAGACAGAGAAACCAAAAGCAAGAAATCAGACTAAATGATGGCCCACTACAACCCCTTCTCCATTATCTTCCTGGAGGTTTGGGCATGCATGCACATGTGCCCAGTGTCCTTTTCAGGCTGCCAGGTCTGGGACTTAGACTGTGTTTGGCCCTGTGGGAGTCCAGTGTCTTAAACACCACACCCCTTTTAGCTAGTCCCAGAAAATCATTCTTTATATTAAGGCTAAGCAAAAATTTTGTCATTTGTTGAGATTATGTAGATCCACATGATCTCTCATACATTAAAGGATGTAATTTAATGATAATATTAAAAAATATAAAGGTACAACCACTTTGGAAAACAGGTTGGTATCATGGTATAACTTTTCTAGAACTGAACATGACAATCTTCAGGAAATATCCAGGAGAAATACTTGGAAGAGTACAAGAATCCACTTCTACAGGAAAGTTCATAGCTCAAAGCTACCAAAATTACCATGAATGGGAGAATAAATACAGTTTTTGTGATGTATTCACAACACAGAAATTTGCAGCTGGTTAAAAAAATGAACTGCAGTCCTGTGAAACAATGTGAATGAATTCTATGTATGATAATATGAAGTGGAAAAGATTGCTAACATTTTCTGTATACCCTACACATTAGATCAAACATTACAAATTAAAAATAATGTCAAAGAGTAAAGATGCTATAAATTGATATAGAAAAAGAATTAGAATATATATTTACACACACACACATATATATAATACTTATTATAGAATTTAGTTTGATAATAACCTTTCTGGGAGATGTAGGCAGATAGAATATGGCAAAATATACGAATAGATAAATGTCATGGTTAAGACCCTGGTATAGTTCTGGGTAACAACAAATGAACAGCTAAATAAATAAATGAAAGTTCTTGGAACAATATTGAGAGTGTTTTATAATTGAAGGATTGAGAATAATCTTGTTCTGGGGACCAAAGTTCTAAGTGTTAAAAAGAGACAACTCCATTATAAAGAATAGGAAAAACAAATGATAGAAATTTGGGGGGAAGGGGTGACTTCCATATGCAGAGATTAATATATAGAATAGAAGAGAAACATTAGGGGGAAAATGCTGAGGACACTGGAGAGAAGTGAAACAGGTGGAGGTCATGATTACTCAGGATTCAGCAGGGAAGAAACCCACACTCAGGATGGGAGTTTTGAAGTTGTTTAGTGGAAAATAAAATTATTTTCTGAGACAGATGGATAACTTTGTGTTTGTAGGGTGAAGGTGAGGGGATTATGGCTGATGTACACTACTTCTATGTGAAGTCGCAGGTAAAGCCAGCTCGTGAGATGCAGAATCAAAGAGGTGCAGTAGATAATTTAGGAGAAGATGCAATATTTAAATTTGCTATAGAACTGAGAAAAGGGTGTGATTTAGTAATTATGCTGCATACTGGGGAGAGGCTAAATGATGATGAAAACCATACATTTTGAGCAGCACAAATCTGACCTGGCTTTAGATGATTGTGTAAAGACATGGTAGTGGATAAAATGTTCCAGATTTGGGTGTTTACAGATGATAGATGTGCATTTAGATTTTGGTGCAATATTATTGGAAGTCCAGCTATATATTTGATTTATGTGCTGCATCGTGTGGACTTGAGTAGGCAATAAGGAAAGGAGAAGAGAATGAACTAACTATAATGAAACAGGGGCCAGCAGGTGGCATAGGGCTGAGGAGTCTCAAATGACTGACTGCTGTTCAAGTCCTGGACCCGGTGGCTTGAAACTCACACTGGGTGCACATGTGTGCATGCCCAAAATCCTGAAAGGAGAACTGAAGAGAAGGGATTGCAGTGTGGTTACCCCCTGGGGGGGTGATATTTCCCTTTCTCTCTCTAAGTCTCTCTGGTGAGTGCCCGTGTTTGACAGCAGAAGTCTCTCTAAAAATAAGTCAGGCAAAACAAAAACAGAACAAAATAAAACAAAACAGAACAGATGTCTTTTCAGGTTCAGAATATGTAAACTGAAGTAGGTTGCTGATTTTGAGCAATGATTCCATTTACTATAGGGAGGAACATTATGAAACTATGCAAGGGATATTATATAAATAGACATCAACTTTGCCTGAGGACAATGGGTAAGAACAGAATGAGAAATGAAGAGACAGTTGTAGTCTTATATGGATCTTTTTCTTTATAAGCAGAGTCACACACTTTGTGTTTCTACAGTTTTTTATTCTTGACTTTTGGGAAGAGATAGCTGTTTATCTCAGAGACTTTCAATTTTCCTTTAGCATAATAGAAGCAGCTGCATGAGCTATTTTCCTGCATGAGCTATAGTCACTGAATACACTGTAAATTTACACTAAACATTCAGGCAAGTCCCTTTAATGGCAAATGCAAATACTAAATGAAATCACAACTCAAATAGTTTTTGAAGAGAAACGGCATAAAATCAATTGAAATATTTTTACTCCGAGTTTACATCATCCATTTTATAAATGTCAATGTTTAGTGCTGTTTTATATACCTTTACAAATTAAATAGCGCAAACTGTATTAATTAACCAATTTTATGATCTGAGACTTCAAAATTTTTTTACCTTAACTTTTACTCCTGTACTTGAATTTAGTCAACATTAATTATTTCGCTTCCTTGAATTTCTGTAAATGATGGTAATAAAGTGATCTTCCATGAAAAACATTCATGATATTAATTTTATCATACAAAGGTTTTCAGAACTGTTCTGGAGACAAAATGTCAGGTGTAGAAGACTTCCAAGCAAAAAATACTTCCTCACCAGTAATTGAAGGCCACTCAGCTTTATCACCTGGTGGAGGTAGGTACTGAATACTTAATCTGTGGGCTAAGAGATTTGTTTTTCCCATGGAATTACCCCCTTCTGTACCTTTCGATACATAATGTTAAAACTTTACATTGATCTTCTGCAGGATTTTAACTTTGCTCATCTTTCCTCATCAAATCCATTTTATTATAGTTAACTGAGTATTTTACTTTTCCAAAAGAGTACTTAACTTTCACTATCATATTGTCACATTAGTTTCAGTACTTTAGGGTTTTATGCTAGTGGATTGATAGTGCTCAATTTAGAACTCTTGGGGTTGTCACCATTCTCATATAGTCACTGTGGTATTTTTTTTACTGTGGCACAGTTGCTCTACATATTGGTGCGTTTTGTTTATACCTCAGAAATGAAGATTTTGCAATGTAACATGTATGCATGTATATAAGTTTTTATTTCTTATAGGGCACATGTACTCCCTGGAGCGAGACACAGAGAGACAAAAGAAGGACACCCATGAAGAATGTTCACACTGCAATCCCTTTTCCTTCATCTCTCCTTCCTCTTGGGATTTCAGGCACAAGCACGCACACATAGTATGTTTTTTAAGCCTCCAGGTCCGGGACTCAAGCGGCACAGCTAATCATGTGGTATCCAGCTGCCTTAACACAGCCCATGGAAACGCCCTATTTATTTATTTCTAATATCTCAATATTTTCCTACTTTATTTTTAAAAATGTTTAATAAATTATGATTTCTGGTTTATACTTGATCAATATATATTCTTATAGGGTACAGTATTTTTTTTTCATTTTACAATTGGTGCATGTGTATTCTAGAGAATGAGACAGAGAGAGAAAGTGAAAGTGAGAACCTCCCCCTCCCCCCATGGAGAATGGTCAACTACAATCCCTTTTCCAATATTCCCACCTTTTGAGCTGGGGCACACAGGCACACACACTGGCATGGTTTTCAATTTACCAGGTCTGGGACTCAAACCACTCAGTTGGCCACATGGGATCCACCTACCTTAAGTACCACATCACTGGTTGGCCCTAGAGTATGGTATTTCATAGCATGCATAGCATGTATAATAATCAAATCAAGGATATATACATATTTATCTTCTTCAACATTGAACATCATATCATGTTGTGCAGACTTAATGACACTTGTATTTGTTTTTGAAATATATATTATAATAAATTGTATAGGAAAAATATTACTGAGGCTGAGGCTCAATTTTTGTAAGGATGCATTGAGCTATGTATTAAACAAAAAAGCTATTATCAACATACCAAGTTTTAAAAAAAATTTTTTTTTTGGGAGAGATTTTTGCTATAGGATGCGTGCACTTGCCAGAAAGACAGAGAGAGAGACAGAGAAAAAAGCAAAAAATCACCCCCCAGGGGGAATGGCCATGCTGCAATCCCTTCTCCTCCACTCTCCTCTCTGGATCTTGAGCACGCACGCACACATGCCTGGTGTGAATTTAAGCCACTGGGTTTGGGACTCGAAGTGCGGTCGGCTTCATGGGAGTTCAGCGACATAGCCATTATGCTGTTGGTCCCCCAACATACCAAGTTTTGAGATGCAGGGAAATTACCTGTTTTCTAGTCATTCAGTCTGAAGCAGACAATGATATACATAAAGAATACATGTCTCAGGCCAGCAGGGAGCAGGGAGGATCAGGCAACTGGATCCCACATGACCCACTGCATGGTTTGAGTCCTGACTCTGTAGCTTGAAAATCACGCTGGGCAGGTGTGCCTGCATGCCCCAAATCCTTAGAGGACAATGAATGAGAGGAGACTGTGGTGTGGCCATCATCCTTGTGGGTGATTTCTCACTATCCCTCTCTCTCTGTTTCTCTCCAGCAAGTGTTCACACCCTATAGTAAAAACTAAAAAGAAGAAAACAAATCACTAAGTGTTCTTGGGGCTGGGGGGATGATTTTTGTTTTTAAGAGCACATCTGTAAATCATGTCATGGAAAATGGTCCTGCTGTGGAGAGAAGTGTTACTATTTTTCACAAGAACAGAAAACTTGGCATGACAGTAAGAAGGCATGTGAAGGCATCGGTGCCAGTCTCGTCAAGATTGACAGCAAGGAGGAGCAGGTACGTGAGAAAGTACTTCCCGAGAAATGTGTATGACCTGAGTTAGGACAATCATTTAGGCTTTGCTTCAACTTTATTTGGCTTATTCAATTGAAGCACTTGTAAGAATAGGTACAGATTTACCTGAAGAGGAGGAGAAATGGTGTTTAAGGGTCCTGGAAAAACAATAGTTATTAATCTCTGCCCCCTAAAAAACGACCCCTGACATGGGCACCAGGAATGATGGGCAGTATTTTCATTACATATGTTACATTTCCATAGTAATATACACATGTATGTGTGTGTGATCTCTCTCTCTATGTGTATATATATATATATATATAAAATTTTTTTCTTGTTTGCCAGAAGGCACATGGCCACGTGTTTGCCAGAAAGCACATGTGTTTGCCAGAGAGAGACAGAGTGAGAAATGGAAAAATGAATTAGCATTCCCCATGGAGGATGGTCATACTGTGGTCTCTTCTCCATTTCTCCCTCCTTTCAGGATTTTGGGCACACTCGCATAAGTGCCTTGTGTTTTTCAAGCCACCAGGTCCAGGACTTGACCTGTGCAGTCAATAATGTGGTATCCAGTTCCTTAACTACCACCTCACCGGCCTGCCCTCACATTTTAATATTTGACAATATTTAGTACTTAGCCTCTTTTTTTTTGTTTGTTTTTTGGAGAGGTTTTTGCTACAGGGCACTCGCCAGACAAGAGAGAGACAGAGAGACAGAAAGTGAGAAATCACCATCCAGGGGGATGGCCACGCCGCAATCCCTTCTCCTCCATTCTCCTCTTGGGATCATGGGCACGCACGCACACACACCCGATGTGAGTTTAACCCACCGGGTCTGGGACCCAAATTGCGGTCTACTACGTGGGAGTCCAGCAACATAGCCAATATGCTAACTGCTGGTCCCAGTACTTAGCCTCTTAGTGCTAAAGTAGGAGGGAGAAAAATTGCCTTCAATGATATAAAGAGACCAGAAGAGATGACTTATTCTGCTGAGTTCTATTCTTCTACCATTAATGCTTAGAAGAATCGTACTTCCAGGGAAATAAAAGTCTTTGACAATGGGAACAATCAAATAGAAAATAAACAATATAAAGAACTACATTAATTATTATTTTTATTGTTTATCATGAATATACATATTAATAATCATTGTAGTTACTATATTATTAGCATACTATTTACGTTTAATGTTATATTAAATAAGGTAATATTCAATAGTAAAATATTGGGATGATTTTTCACAAATGAAATTTTATATTACCTATATTCCAGAATGACAGAAATATCACTTTTCTAGATCTATCACATTTTGCCCTCACTTACAAGGTTTGGGACTATAAAGTCATTTAACAATTTTGCCAATTAATTTTAATGATCCAATTTTTGCACTGAATTTTATCCTTTCAAATTTATATCTATGTGAAATATTTGATATAAATAAAATGTATTAGTTGGAATAATAATTAGAAACAATTAGCAATTCTTTTATATTCGCAATGTTTCAGACCTCTGCATAATTCTTTCAGTATATAAAATCTTCAAAACAAATACTATAATTTCCTTTTTGTTCTACAAGAGCAAAATGTGAAAAGAAGTCAATTAATTTGCTTGTTCACATAGTGACTAAATAATAAAACCTGTCTTAACACTGTATCTATAGTTTCATTGTTTTTGTTGCTGTATAATATTACACAACTTGGGCACACAATTTTCCATTCTCAAGGTGATGGGAATTTTGGTTGTTTCTAGTTTCTGTTATAAATAAAGTCATTAAGTACTCTTAGACTTGTTTTCTGGGCAAACCTTCTTTATGTGACTTAACACAAATTGTCCTACTATCAGAGTTTTGGGCTCACAGAGTATGCAAAACCTTTATGAACAAAGTTCAAATTACTCCTCATTGAGTTATTTCTTTGATCCCCAACATTCCATCAAATTGGTGGTGTCATTCTTCTCATATTTTTGCAGCTGACTAGATGTACAGTGTCTCCTTGCACTCTGGCTTTGAACTTATTGATCTCTAGTGAGCTTGGCATCTTTTCCTGGTTGGCCAGATATGTTTCCTTTTATGTTACATATCTGATAGTGACTTTTGCCCATTGTTTGAGTTGAAAAATTTAATTTTCTTATTGATTTTAAAAAACACATTATTTTTATATATTTATGTTTCTAAAGTATTAGTGTGGATACCATCTCCAGATTTGAAAATTGTCTTTTCACATTCTTTTTTTCCACCCATATTTTAAAATTTCATTTTCTTTTATACATTCAAGCACATTATTTAGCTTACAAAATGAATATTTCAACAGGTGAACATTCCTCCCCAGTCCAGTTGATAAAACTATAAAATATCCTTAATAGATAATACCACATTTCTTTGTCCCATTAATGTGCCTTTTTCACATTCTTTAAGCTGTGTGTTGATGAAGAGTTCCAAATTGAATGGCACCATATTTACATCTATCCTTTCTAGTACTTCTGATTTTTGTGTCTTTTAAAAAAACTTCAGCATACCCTTTTCTTGGTATCTGTCTTAGTGCCAGAAAAGATGAGTGATTTGATTATTAACGTCTTTCGCTTCTGTACTTTTTTAATTAATGGAGAGTTTAGTGCTTGCTCTGTTTATCATAGAGTATTTGAAGATAATTGTGACTAATACTTTATGAAAGTCCTCTGTTAATAAAATGTCATCTTTGCATTATTACTAATACTAGTAATTCGAATTTTCTCACAGGAGCACATTCAATCACAAGTTGGATATATTTCTTGGGTTGGATTATATAAAAAAGGAGATATGTACCCGTGGACATGGCTGGATGGCTCACGTCCTTCTCAGAAGCTGTAAGTTCTCATTTCGTAGTCTTCCCCCTCAGTTTTTTCTTAATAACTGATTCATACACTACGATCCAGTAACAGGAGCCAATTCTTGTGCCTTAGGGAATACCTTTCATTCCATTTGATCTCTGTTCTCAGGCAGCTGATACAAACGGCATTATTTTTCTCCATGTTGTTTAATGGAGAGTCCTTCCCAATGCAGCAAAGTAACATTTTTCCTTTTCATAATTTTAGTTGTTTTGGTATATCCTCTGATCTTCCTTTTGTTAACTAGTATGTTTAGAGAGCAGGAAACAAATATAATGATGAAAGAAAAATGATATCTAAAGCCAGTCCTCCCTCTAAGTGAAGATTCAAGTATTTATACATGTAATTTAAAAGTAAAAAAGACTCATTTCTTAATAAATCATTCTGTGATATTAATTCTCCAATGATTATTAATTTTTTATGCCATTATTTTACAGAGACATGCCGAATCCCCTACAGTTCCATTTAATTATAATTATACACCAGCACAGAGGTGTTGGTTGGAGTTGAGTAAGCTGGTCTAGAAAATGACAAATAGTTTTATTAACCCCAAGGACTTCTGAGGATAATATGAGGGTGATGGGTTATTAAACACATATTTGAAACTATAACAATTAATTGGAGATACCAAAAAGTCCTGTTCTTATGAATCTTAATTTCTAACATTGGGGTTTTAGTGGTGATGCAGGAGTGAGTGATGACATACCAAAGCAAGGACTTTCACAGTATAGTAGAGGACCATACAGGCTACAGAGGGCTGTCAGACCTTGTTCCTGCTGTCTCACAGAGAACTCACACATGCTCTCTATCATGAATAATAATAATAAAAAATAGGTGGTCAAGATGAGCCTCCATGATAATACAACATTATACAATGACTAGGAGTTAAGATGGATGAGCAAGCTGTGTGGGCTCCCTCATGGGATGGCATTCTGGAAAGGAAACAGCTGTTGTGCACACACAGCAGTAGGAGAGCTGTTTAGTTCACTTGAGGAAATAGCAAGAGGGCCTTGAACTAGAAGAAATAACCAGAAGGCCTAGATACTGTTGCAAAGTGTGTAACTTATAAAGAATTGGGTGAGAGTAGTATCAAGGGTGAGAACATTTTGACATCTATGGGGCCTCTTTTGGGTATTTTGGTATATGTCGTAATTCTGATGAGAGGACTCCTCTGGGGATGCAAACAGTGTACACATCAGTGCACCAGTGGTGTTCAGCCTGTGATATGAGGATGTGTGTGGTCACCAGGAAATCTAACCTCTGAGCCCATGGATTCCCTGATGTTGAAGGTGTTGAGGTGATGTGATAGCCTGAAAGCAGTTCTGAGAAAAGCGGTTTGGTTAAAAAGATAGGGGGAAAACCATGAGAGAGTGGCATAACATAACGGGACAGCTTTAAAAAGAGTACTACAGGGACCAGCAGTTAGCATAATGGTTTTGTTGCTGGACTTCCACGTAGTCAACCGTGGTTGGAGTCCCAGACCCAATTGCTTAAAACTCAAGTCAGGTGCGTGTGCGTGCGTGCCCAAGATCCTGAGAGGAGAATGGAGGAGAAGGGATTGTGGTGTGGCCATCCCCCCTGGGGTGTGATTTCTCCCTTTCTGTCGCTCTGACTCTCTCTGTCTATGTGGCGAACACATGCGCCCTACAGCAAAAAAAACAAAAAAAACAAAAAAAACAAAAAAAAAGAGTACTACAGACATTATAAGCAGAATTTGAAATCTTATTGATTTCTCACCAAAAATAACTTTTGTCATTTCATATTAAAATTTACTATCAATTGAGTTATACATACTTGGAGAAAAATAAAAATTATAAAACTTTTCCCCACGTATTTTAGCCTACCTAACCTTATAGTTTAAAATCTTTTTTTCCTATACTATTTTTTTTTCCAACAGCATGTGCATGTGTGAGAGAGAAAGTGAGAAAGCACTACCTAATAGGGTGTAGTCATACAATAATCATTTTTCTTCCTCTTCCCCAATTTTTCAGGATCTTGGGCTTATGAGTGCATGCATTTGGCATCATTTTCAAGTTATGGGGCTCTTAATTGAAATACAGTCAGCTATGTGGTATCTGGGTCCTTGTGCCTAATGTTTAATTTAGCACTAAAGGGCTGGGCCATCATTTTCTTTTTCTGAGAGAGAAGGAGAGAGGGAGACAGAGAGAGAATCTGAGATGGGTCTTCATGCCCTGATTCATGCCCAGCATCAGTAAGTCTGGATCACTGGAAAACAGGCAAGCACCTTCTGTGTTGACAGGACACAGACTAGAGACCAGGGACCCTCCTATGGGGCCCAGTTATATTTCCACTGTGCCATTATTGCACCCTGTTGTCCTATATTCTCACTTCTTAGTTTCACAGAATGTAGTTCTTTTTTGTTGTTGTTGTGCAAGATTTTAGGCTCAGAGAGGGAAAAGGAGACTTGTGTTTGAAATCCCAACCACTCTCTTCTAAGTTGAAAGTGAGGTTAGCATCAGAGTCTCCTGCTCTTTGCATGTTCTCCTGAGCTGTAGAAAATTGGAAATATTTTTATACCCAGTTATAATGTGTCACATGATGAATTAACTGTATTTAGTCACTTCCTGAAGTTTCAGGCATGACATAAGAAATAGCCAAACGTCCACGTCTAATCCTTGTGTACACACTGCCCTGAGTGCCCTGTCTCTTCCTTATCTCCAATTGTTCACAATCCTACTATTTGCTAGTTTTATAAACAGTTTTACTTTCTAATTTAACAGCTATATATGGATCAGAAGAATTTGTATCCTCTGAAATAATTACACTCATGTGTTTTAAAATTGTGTAAATGAAATGTTGTAAATAATCACTTTCTAAAATGAATATATTCTCCAATGTAGGACTTTACGAACAATGAATCAAGCTAAAGCAAATTGTGGATCCCTCAGGCCAACAAATATTCAGGATGCTGTTTGTGATAGATCTTTTAATTACATTTGTGAAAAGTCATTTACTTGCCTTGCTATTTGAAGAATTACTAAAATCTAACAGTTCATTCTTTATTGACAACTAGTGAAATCAACAACTTAGCATACTTTAAATCAGTCACTTCTACATGATATATGGATTATTATCTCTCAAATTATCATCTAGCAAAGGTAAAGCAATGTTTTTCATATAATAAAATCAAATAAAGTTATGAAATTATATATGTGTGTATATATATATATATGAAAAAACTTTTGCAGAGAGCATGTGCACATGTGCACTTGCTGGAGAGAGACAGACAGAGGAAAAACAAGAAAATCCCCCATGGGGAATGGTCAAGTCTCAATTCCTTCTCTCTAGCTCTCCATTCTTTCAGGAATTTGGCATGCACACATGAGTCCAGTGTGTCTCGCCAGCCTCTGGGGTTGGGATTTGAGCCATGAATCTACCGTGTGGGATCCAATCTCTTCAACAATCATGCCATGCGCTGGTCCTGTATTAAGGGGCTGATCCTATTTTAATGTTAATAGTCAACAAATGAAAGAATGAAAAGCAAATTCATATTGATTGATTAAAATATTTTATATTATTTTTAGTCACTTAATTTTATTTCAATATGAAAACAATATATTCACATTATTCAAAATATACAACAGACAAAATGACAAAATGTAAAAAAAAAAGAAACAACTCCAAAAACCTAGCAGTTTTTTTCTTCATTTCACTTACTCACCTGGTCCCCTTCTCAAAGATAAATAAATAACTAATTTCTTAGATATTGTTACAGAGATGTTCTATGTAAGTAGAACCATATGCATTATACTTACTAAATAATATGTTACATATCTGTAAACAATAGTCATACCTTTTGCATTTTTAATATAAAAATGTATCTTGCAGGTTGTTCCATAATTGTACATAAGGAGTAATGTGAGTTTTACAAACATTGCACTAAATGGATGTACCAAGTTTAGTCAATATTTCAATGAATATTTAGTTTAGTTCCAGTGCTTTATAATTATATGTAAATGCTCCAAGGATAATATGCCATACAATTTGATTTGGGATAAAGAATGTCTAGATAATAAATATCTAGTATACACCAAAATATCACATTATATACTTTCATTTTCATAGATGATATTTATATTTTCATTTTTTGGCATTGTAATTTCTATGTCAAAATTATCCACATTGTAATTGTAATTGGTGTTTAACAATTGCCCTCCCTGAATATTGTACACCTGTCATCTATCATCAGCAATGTTTAAGATGGTCTGCTCACTGACCTCTTTACTATCACAGTTTGTTACCATTCTGTTTGATTTTGCCAATAAAATCTTTGCCAATGAAAAGGGAAACTTTTGTCAAGTCTATAATTCCCTATTATTTGTGTGACATCTCTTTCTGGCATTTCTATTTATAAGATTTAAAAATATTATTATGGTGGGAACCAGCAGTTAGCATAATGGCTATGTCGCTGGACTCCCACATAGTCGACTGCGGTTTGCGTCCGGGACCCGGTGGCTTAAAACTCACGCCAGGCACGTGTGTGTGCGTGCCCAAGATCCCGGGAGCAGAATGGAGGAGAAGGGATTGCGGCGTGGCCATCCCCCCCTGGGGGGTGATTTCTCGCTTTCTGTCTCTCTGTCTCTCTCTGTCTGGCGAGCGCACGTGCCCTATAGCGAAAACCTCTCCAAAAAAAAAATATTATTATGTTTTTTTTCTTTATCCATGATAGGAAGCATTTTCTCACAAGTGAGAGAGAAAGAGAAAAAGGAACACCCACACTTCACAGAGTCCATTCACACTACTATAACTTTTATCTAGTCTTCTAGCGTGTTGACCCTGAGCAATCATGCACATGCCAGACATGTTTCAGTTCAACCTGGCTGGGGACTTAAACCACAGTGTCCAAGTGGGATCTTGTTTCTTCAGAGCAGTACATCACCGCTGTACCAGTGTCTGCCCTGACGTTTCTTTTCTTTAAACTATCTGCTTATATTATGGATTTGTTACAGGAATTAGACCCATTGAGTAGATAAATAGGGCAG